CCCCTTCATGATAAGTCTTGGAGAGATCAGGGATACAAGGATCATACCGAAACATAATTAAAGCAATATACAGCAAGCCAATTGCCAACATTAAATTAAATGGAAACTCACAGTAATTCCCCTACAATCAGGAACAAGACAAAGTTGTCCACTCTCTCCATACCTATTCAATATAGTACTTGAAGTTCTAGCTAGAGCAATAAAACAGCTAAAGGAAATCAAGGGGATACAAATTGGAAAGGAAGAAGCCAAAGTTTCCCTCATATTCAAAATTCTATGAGGGAAAATCCTTTAGTCAAATGTCTGGACACAAGATTAACAAAAAAATCAGTAGCCCTCCTATATACAAATGATAAATAGGCTGAGAAAGAAATCAGGGAGTCAACATGCTTTACCTCTAATAATATAAAATATCTTGTTATAACTCTAATCAAGCAAGTGGAAGACCTGTATGATAAGAACTTCAAATCTTTGAAGAAAGTAATTTGAGAAGATATCAGAAGATGGAAAGATCTCCATGCTCATGGATTTGTAGAATTAACATAGTTAAAATGGCCATTCTACCAAAAGCAATCTACATATTCAATGAAATCCCCATTAAAATCACAGCGCAATTCTTTGCAGACCTTGAATGAACAGTAATTAACTTCATATGGAAAAACAAAAAAAAAATCCAGGATAGCTAAAACAATCCTGCACAACAAAAGAAGTTCTGGAGGCATAACCATTCCTGATTTAAAGCTCTACTACAGAGTTATAGTAATAAAAATCACATGATATTGGCATAAAAACAGGCAAGTAGATCAATCCAATTGAATTGAAGACCAAGATATAAATCCACACACCTATGGACACCTGATTTTTGACAAAGAAGCCAAAATGATGCAATAGAAAAGGAAATATCTTCAACAAATGGTGCTGGTATAACTGTATGTCAACATGTATAAGAATGCAAACAGATCCATGTCTATCACTCTGCACAAAACTTAAGTCCAAGTGGATCAAAGACCTTACTTAACATGAATCTAGATACACTGAACCTGATAAAAGAGAAAGTGGGAAATAGCCTTGATGCATTGGCACAGGAGACAGCTTCCTGAACAGAACACCAATAGCACAGATGCTAAGATCAACACTTAATAAATGGGACCTCATGAAGCAGAAAAGTTTCTGTAAAACAAAGGATACAATCAATAGGACAAAAAAGAAGCCTGCAGAATGAGAAAAGATTTTCACTAAACCCCACAACTTACAGATGGCTGATTTCCAAAGTATATAAAGAACTCAAGAAACTAGACATCAAAAAACCACCAAATGGTCCAATTTAAAAATGGGGTACAGACTTAAAAAGAGAATTCTCAACAGAAGAATCTCAAATGGCAGAGAAGCACTTGAGGAGATATTCAACATCCTTAGCCATCAGGGAAATGCAAATCAAAACAACTCTGAGATTCCATCTTATACCTGTCAGGGTGGCGAAGATCAAAAACACAAGTGACAGCTCATGCTCCACTTGTGGAGCAAGGGGAACTCCATTGCTGGTGGGAGTGCAGACATTTTGGAAATCATTGTGACTCTTTCTCAGAAAATTGGCAATCAACCTACTTCAAATCCAGCTATACCACTCCTGGGTATCCAAAGGATGCTCAATCATACCATAAGGACACTTACTCAACTATGTTCATAGCAGCTTTATCTATAATAGCCAGAACCTGGAAACAGTCTAGATGCCCCTCAGATGATGAATGGATGTGGTACATTTACATGATGGAGTATTACTCAGCTGTTAAAAACAATGAGATCGCCGGGCGGTGGTGGCGCACGCCTTTAATCCCAGCACTCGGGAGGCAGAGACAGGCGGATCTCTGTGAGTTCGAGGCCAGGCTGGACCAACAGCCTCCAAAACAATACAGAGAAACCCTGTCTCGTAAAACCAAAAAAAAACCAAACAAACAAACAAAAAACAACGAGATCATGAAATTTGCAGGCAAATGGATGAAACTAGAAAAAAGTCATTCTGAGTTAGGTAACCCAGATCAAGAGAGACAAACATGGTATGTACTCATTCAATAGTGGATATTAGCTGTAAAATAAAAAATAAACATGCTATAATCCACAGACCCAGAGAAGCTAGTAGACAAGAAGGGTCCAAGGAGGGATGCTCAAATCTCCCTGTGAAGGGGAAATAGAAGAGATCTCATGGGTGAACTGGGGGTGGGTGAGGATGGGAACATCAGTGATCAGGTTGGGGAGATGGAGGGAAGAGGATTGAAAGAGACTACTTGAAAGGGGGGTGCATTTTGGGGTCAGGTTAAAAACCCAGCACCAGGGAATCTCCCAGGAGTCTTCAGGGTGACTCTAGCTAAGACTGCCCGCAATAGTGGATACACAGCCTGAACTGACTGTCTCCTGCAACCAGGCAAGATTTCAAGTGAAGGAAGTGGGAAACCAGCCCAGTCACACAACCTTTGACCTAGAGTCTGTCCTGCCTATGGGATGTGCTGGGGTAAGAGTGGTCTAGAAATTGAGAGAGTGGCCAGTCTATAACTGGTCTAGCCTAAAAGTCACACCAGGACAGGGAGAGGCAGAGGGGAGGTGGTGGGGAGAGAATAGGAGGAGAGAAGGAAGGGGAAACTGTGGTCTGGATGTAACATAAATAAATACATTTAAAATTAAAAGGAAGAGAGAGAGAAGTGAAATGGGGGGAGCTTCTGCTCTTCCAAGTCAAGGCTTGATTGTAAGACCTGCCTAAACATGTCCATATACCCAAAGAGTCTGGAATGTTCTGGTGGAAGTTCCATCCTAAGCCCCCCCCTTCCCAAACCCTGCTGCATTTCCGAAAGCCCACCAAATGATGACCCCTCCCCAGAGACCACTCCCACAGGGTATTTGAACTGTCCCCCAGAGAACAGACTCATGGTTTTCCAGTCTCTCTTTCCCATCTCCTCTCTGAGGGGCTGGAAGACCATCTGGGAAAGTGAATCCGTTAAACGTGGACCTTTTCTAATTTGGCTTGATGTGGTATGATCTGGATTGCTGCACCATCTGGGAGGTTTATTGGGGAGTAGACACGTGCACCAGGGCACAAGCCAGGAGGAACAGGAGGCCTTCTTTAGCACGTCTGAAACAGAGAACCCGACTGTGAGCCTGTGGGATTCACTCTGGCATTCCTTTCTCTCCTTAGCTTCATGCCCTAGCGAAGGCATAATCGCCATAACCACCATAATACGTGGTTAATTTTGTCAACCTGACACAATCTAGAATTGCCAGCATCTCCGTGAGGAGCTGTCTAAGCACTTGGTAATAGGAGCCTTAGTGCTTATTTTATTTTACAGATCTAAAATGCAATGTATTGGGGCTTTACCAGATCTCTTGTCTTCTGCTGTTTACTGTTGCACTGCGGAGCCACCCGTCCCTCTCCGAAGTCGTGCAGCTGATGATTTGCTTCAAATTCATCAGGGTACAGAGAAGCAATGACTGTCTCTGATCCACACAGTCTCTTCTCTCCCCCCTGAGTACGTATTCTTTATGAGTATGCATAAGGGGGTGGAGGGGGGATGTAATGTGTGTGTGTGTGTGTGTGTGTGTGTGTGTGTGTGTGTGTGTGTAAGGGCGTGGGGTGTGCATGAATGTGTATGCAAGCTCTGGAGTGTGCATGTGTTCTCAGTAGCCCCTTAGTATAGTTTCTCTATGTCTCAATGTTTCCATTGGTTCAGCTTTAATCCCATAAACCCGTGTAAGAAAGCCAGGCATGGTGACACGTGGTGAACCCTAGCCAGCAAGAAGCCCTTTCTCAAAACTAGCAGTCACACACACACACACACACACACACACACACACACACCACTCGCTATACAGGCCACACACAAACACACACTCACACACTCACCACTCACTATACACACCACACACACATACACCATTCACTATACACACCACACACACACCCACTAATGATGATTGTGATGATATTAAGCAAGATGGAAGCACTGGAGAAATGGCAGCCCAGGTTGACCCCTTCACATTTGCTCACCCCCACCAGCCCCTTGTACCCCCCCAAAAATCTTTTTATTGTGTCACAGTCTTTCCTCTGGAAAAAAGCTACTCTTTTCTATTCATCTAGTGCTGACCACTTGACCAGCGTGGAACAATTCTGCACCAAGCTGTTAAGAACCATTTTGTTTCCTCCTGAACCTCTGTGACTGTTTTTGGACCACAGTGTGACCTGTAGGAGACACTGTTTAGGCTCCGTTTCCAGCTCCACTAATTAAGAACTGTGTGACCTTGGGCCTGCTACATGACCATTCTGTGCTTCAAAGAGACCTAATTGTTAAATTGCAATCGCAGCGGCTACTACAGGCTGGGTGGTTGAATGGATGAGCACATAAATCATTTAGAAAAGTGCCTGGCTACACTGTGTATCAACTATGATTGAAGCCCATCCTAGTTTCATTTCTGTTGCTGGGATAAAATGCTCTGAAGAAAAAAAAAGCAGCTTGGGGAAAGTATGTGTATTTCTGTCCACAGTTCCAGGCTTTAGCCCATCAATGTAGGGAAGTCACAGCAGCGAAAGCTTAAGACAACTGGTCACGTTCACAGTCAAGAGCAGAAAGAAGTGAATTCACACTTGGCTGCATCTTCCACACTTACACAGTGCTTAACCCCCTGTCTAGGGGTTGGCTCAGGCTGGGTCTCCCATGTCAGTTAACTTAACCCAGTGTACACAACCCTTCGCCGGGACTCTGTGTCAGGGGGTTCTAGGCTAAGTTGACAGTTAAAGCTAAGCATTACAAAGCCCCTCTCCCGAGTCAGCAGAAACGGATTGGAAGTGATGACATCTTTACGTCAAGACAGCAAGTCGTCGGATCAGAGAGGGCCATGTTTCTGGGAACGCTAGAGCAGCTGCTTTTCCTTCCATTCCAGGAATGGTAGTTATATGGAATGGTGTGTCAGGGGCTCGTCCCTCCAGCATCTTCCTGTCTCACAGTTCCTTGTTTCACTTCCTGACTCAGAATAGATGCAAGGAGTGAACAGCAGTGGGTGGTAAATAGATGCCACTGTCCCCAGCAGTCTCCGGCACAGAAGGACAGTAGAGAAACATGGATGAGTCCGAGGAAGGGAGGGCGCAGAAGCTGGGTCCCCAGGGTAAGACTGGGTCTGGATTCTGGGGACTTACAGATGGGTTTTGTGGGGCCACCTTGAGTCTCATTTTGCCAAGGATGTGACTGATGCTCTGTCCACTCAGATGAGGAACAGCTGATAACCAGCGGCACCAGATACTCCATGAAAGGCTTCAGATTCCAACCACCCTACGTCCTCAAAAGGGCTACAGGTAAAAGGGGTGGGGGAAAGACAGGCTTCCTCAGCTGCCTGTGTCCCCGGGGGTGGGGATGGGGATGAATGCCTGGATCTCACAGGCTGAGGGAGGAGGAGGATGCAGACTGAACTTCCAGGTACTGTGGAGGTAGAGGCTGAGGACTGGACTCCCGGGTCCTGCAGGGTGGAGGTTGAGGACTGCACTCAAGTCTTAGGGAGGGGAGCACTGGGGGCACTATGGAGATGGAGGCTGAAACTAGACCTCTCCATCCCATAGAGACAGGAGCTGACAACTGGGTCCTGGCTGCTGAGGATGCGGGCCCTAAGGGCTGGACTCCCGGGTCCTGTAGACGTAGAGGCTAGAACTAGACTCCTTGGTTCTCCTAAGCAGAGATTATGTATTCTACAAGTGAAAGCTGAGTTCTTAGAGTCCTGGGCCCTTAGGTGGCCATCTTGAGACTGAACTCCTGGGTCCAAGGGAGACAGAGGCTCAAATGGGCCCTGGAATGTTCAAGGATGGAAATCTGGGCTCTTACATCCTGAAGTGGTTGGGTCTGGAGGAATTGAACTATACTCTGGAAAAGTCTGTCCTCCTGGGTCCTGGAAAGATAGAATACAAGTCTCTGGACTCCTGGGTCCTGGGGGTGATGATGGCTGAAAACCTAGAGTAGTCAAGTCTGAGGGCTGAACTCCTGGTCCTGAAGAAGGGCATACTGGGACGTTCCTTAGAGATGGTGGAGAGGAGTTCTGGGATTCTAGAGAGATGACACGGGTTTTGGAATCTTGAGTCCTAGGAAGAAGAAAAATGAAGACTGGATTATTATGGAATGGTTGAGTCAGAAAAGAGTCTTGGATCCCAGGGAAGTGAGGGCTGGACCACAAACACAGTGGATCCAGGGAGACGGAAGCTGTGTCTCCGGGAGGAGGATGCTGACGTCTGTGGGTTGAGTGTGTCGGGGACACTGTTGTGATGAAGCTTCCACTTTCTCTCCTGCAGAGCACCTGTGCCATGGTCACGTCCCCTTCGTTCTGCAGCTGCTCTGCCTCACACTTTCTGCTATTCTCCTTCTGACTGTCCTTGTCAAAGGTCAGGCAGGTCTGAGGGCTGGGGGCTCCCTGATAAGGCCTTCCAGTTGGGTGGAAGGCCCATGGGAGAGATAGGCTAAAGGCTAGGAACGTCCAGTAATTTCTCAGAGTCCATCTCACCCCGGCATAGATGAGGGTCCCAGATCCACTTATCCTGGCCATTCAGTCTTCTCTAAATATCAGATTTCTTCATCCTCAAGACCAGCAGCTAGATAGATGGCTTACCATATAAAGCACTTGTCAAAGAAACACGAGGACCTGAGTTTTGATCCCAGAACACATGTGAAGCAGGACATGGTAGGAATGTTTCTGTAACCCTAGCTATGGTGAGATGGGCAGCAGAGACAGGAGAACCCTGGAAGCTTGCAGGCCAGCAAACCCGGTATACACAGTGGTAGATAAGAGACCAAACAAGGTGGGCAGTGAGGACAGACACCTAGAGTTGTCTATCCTGACTCCTCAGGTGTATGCCAGCATGTCCACAGTCACAAGATGCATGCACATGCACACCCACTTGCAATTTTTAAAAAGAGGTATTAAGCAAGATACTTTGTTTTAAAAAGAAAAGTCCCTGGGGGATGAGTGCAGGCCATGACGTCTAATAAGTGTTTAATAATTGCAGATCCTTTTTCTCGTCACAGTCTCCATTATTGCCAGCTCCTGGGGACAAGAACAGGCAAAGAAGGAGAAAGTATACCAGGAGATGAGTCAACTGAAGCCTCAAATAAGTGAGTGACTGGAGGCAGGAGGTCCCAGGAACTCAAAGGGTCTCCATGTTACATGGTTTGGCTTCAGCCACCACCCATCTCTGAGCTTCCACTTCCCATTGGTCTGACAACTTTATGTAAATGAGGCAATGAGGAGGGGTGTATGACTCAGCAGTTAAAACCACTTGTCATCAAGTCTAATGTCCTAAGTTTAGTTCCTGGGAGTCCCAAAGTGGAAGGAGAGAACCTGCTCCCTCAGTTTGTCATCTGACCTCCACGTACATGCCATGGCATAGGCATACTCACATAAATTAGTTTATTCACTGAATGGTTAGTGGAAATTAGGCCCAATGAGTTATGCACTTGGTTGAAACTCACTTAGCCCGTCTGAACTCTAAGTTCACTCTTCTCCCAGGCTTGAAGAGATGCCAGGACTTCCAGGTTGTCTTGGGGTGAACTATACTCTCAGGGACTAGAGAGGAATGACTTCCCAGCTGTGTCTCAGAGATCCTGCTGGACTTGAAGGCTGGACAGACACAGGAACACGGGCAGCCAAGTGCATGCCCACCTAACCAACCTCCCCCAACAGACCGCCTGTGCCGCCCTTGCCCCTGGGACTGGACATTCTTCCAAGGAAGCTGTTACTTCTTCTCCACGTTCCAACAGAACTGGCACGAGTCTGTCACTGCCTGCAAGGAAGTGGGAGCCCAACTAGTTGTCATCAAAAGTGACGATGAGCAGGTACATGTGGTGAGATCCAAACTGTTTGTGTGGTACACGTGTCTGACCACAGGAATCTGAGGAGACATAGTTTGCTAGTTTAGATTATGAATGAGTAGTGCTTGCTCCCCTGGGGAAAGGAAGAAGAGTAGAAATAAAAAGGTACCAAGCACCACACACACACACACACACACACACACACACACACACACACACACACACACCAACCACTATCACCACTACCATCACCACCACCACCACCATGATACAGCATCTAAATATCAGTGGGTGCTTTAGGCAACACAAATGTAGGTTGTTTCTTTTGGTACACTGGGAAGCACTGAATAACTTCCTTTACTGGACTTTTAAAGAAAGTCTAGTGTCTACCATTTGCCAGTCCCCCTGTTGTAAATGCTGCCATCCTGACTGAATCCAAGCTACCAATGGGACATCCCTCAATGCACAGCTCAGAAGAGGTCGTGTGCATGACCAGAAATGAAGAACTGGTACAATCTGGCTTTAGCACTTATACCCGGTGGTGAGTTAATCCATCTGAGCATGCTCAGAACTCCTCGTAAGGCAGGTAGACAGGCAGTTTAGCATGTGTCATGAGAGGCCATTCAGAGAAAACAGGATGCAGGTGTGGGAGCCATGAGACCTTGTGGCACCCTGGGGAGACGAGTACCAGACTGCAAGCAGAACCTCCTGCTAAGAGCTGGGGCAGGAGAACAGCAGGTGTGATACAAGGTGTGCGGCCTCTCCCTCACTGCTCCTCTGCCCCTCCAGAGCTTCCTGCAGCGGACTTCTAAAGAGAAAGGCTATGCCTGGATGGGGCTGTCGGACCTGAAGCGTGAGGGCGTGTGGCACTGGGTGGATGGCTCACATCTGCTCTTCAGGTAAATCTGGGAGGAGAGAGACAACCCATAGCTTCACATGGTTTGTTACTTACTTCTGTTGCTGTGATAAAGAGAGAAAGGGTTTACCTGGTGCACACATCCAGGGGATTGCTGCATCGTGGTGGGGATGGCATTGCAGCAGGAGCTGGAGGTGGCTGGTCACAGGGCAGTGGCAGTCAGGAAGCTGAAAGTAAGCGTGTGAGTCCCATGCCAGTGACCTGCTTCTCCCAGTGCCTAAGGGTCCCACAACCTTCTCAGAGAGTGACAGCTGGGGACCGGGTTGTTCAAACACTCAAACCACAGTGGCATCAGCAAATGGTGCCTAGAGTTCTCCTTTGGATGTCTCCATACCCTAGGCTGTCTTCATAACCATGTGCTCATAAGACTCCAGGTTCCTGGAAATCTACCAGCAGATATGGAGATGGGGTTTGTAGCCTGCACGAGTCACTTAAATGAAGTATACTAATGGAAAATCTATGGGATAGTGTGTTCTCACTGTTGTAACTAAATGCCTGACAAAGATCAATGTTGAGAATGATTGATTTGCCTCACAGTTTGAGGGTACAGTCCACCATAATGGTGAAGGCATGCTGGCAGGAGCTTGGGAGAACTGGTTCCATGCCATCCATAACCAGGAAGCAGAGGGAGCTATGGATGCTGGTTAAAAACCAACAAGCAAAGCAAAGCCAACCCCTGACTACTCTCTCCATTGTGTGTGCACACGTGTGGGGCAGGCACACGTGCACATGTGTGGGGAGAGGTTGCAGGGAAGGCAAGAGCTCTTATTTTGGTGCTGTAAACCAGGCTTAGGACTGGCCAGTGTGGAGTGTCCACTGGTTCTGGAATGTAGATGCCGTTCCCAGAACTATGGTCTTTGACCCTGGATAGGTATATAGGAGCCAAAAGCACAAAATCTTGGGAATGGAGATGGTTAAGTCTGTGGAATATGAGTTGGTTGGTTATATTTGAAGAAGAAACCTTCAGTACCATGATCCCCTTTGATCATGGGAGATCACAAGGTTCATGGGTCAAGGCCAACGGTATCTCTTTGAGCCCAGAACTGGTCACATCTGCTGCAATGCATGCAGGGCAGATGTGAAAAGAACCCATTTCACTGATAGAAACATGGATGAGGGGCCAGGTAATAGATGAGTTGATAAATTGCTTGTCATGTGTTCTAGTTTTATTTCTGTTGCTCTAATAAAATACACTGACCTAAAAACAAGTTAGAGGAGAAAAATGGCTTAGTTCATCTTTTATAATTTCAGGTTCCAATTCTGTCATTGTGGAGAAGTTGAGGCAGCTAGTAACATTACACACACAGTCAAGAGGAGAAAAGAAATGAACACATACATGCTCACTCACCGGCTTGGGTTTCCACTCTTACACAGTTCAGGGCCCCCTACCTAGGTAGTGTGCTGCCCACAGTGGACTTGGTCTTCCCACACCTCTTAACATAATTAAGAAAATCCTCCACGGATACCCCCACAGGCCAACCCAAGATAGACAATCCCTGAGGCTGTCTTTGCAGATGACTCTAAGTTGTGTCAAGTTGACAACAAAAGCTAGCCATCACATGGAGCAAGTATGACGACCTGAATTCCATCCCCTGAACCCACATTAAAAAAACAAGTATTTTGGCACATGCTTGTCATTTAAGCACTGGAAAGGCAGAAACAGTGGATCCCTGATGCTCACTAAACAGTCTAGCTGAATTAGTGAATTCTAGGCCAGCGAGAGACCCTGCCTCAAAACTCAAGGTGGAGAGCAACTAAAGATATCTCGGGTAGACCCATGTACAACCATAAATGTGTACATGTTTCTGCACACACACACACACACACACACACACACACACACACAGAGGAGAGAAAAGTGGAGGGAGAAACATGGTTGATAAAGGGGAGGTGAGACTAATTCTCATACTTTGATGAGTGTTGGCCAAGTAGATTTACGAAAAAAATCATTTAATTGGGGTCCATGGGTTTAGAGACCATGACCGTCATGTCAGGAAGCATGGCACCAGGGAAGCAGGCAAGGTGCTAGAGAAGTAACTAAGAGTCCACATCTCAGTCCACAAGCACAAGACAGAGAGAGATAAGTAGGAATGCTGTGGGCTTTTAAAAGTCAAGGCCGACCCTCAGTGACACTCCGTCCTCCAACAAGGCCGCATCTCCTAATCCTTCCCCAGCAGTTCCACCTACTGGAGACCAAGCCTGTGGGAGCCATTCTCATTCAAACCACTACAATTGGTTTTGCAGTTTCATGAAATATTGGAACAAAGGAGAGCCCAACAATGAAGGGGAAGAAGACTGTGCAGAATTTAGAGATGACGGCTGGAATGATGTCCCGTGTACAGTTCAGAAATACTGGATCTGCAAGAAGCCTGCTATGTCCTGCACCAAAAAATGATGTCTCATCTGTCTGGAACACCTGTTGCCAAAATTACCCTGCAGGGTGACTGAACTTAACCCACAATGTATGCCAGTTCCTTCTTCTGTGAACATGAAGATCTTAATTGCAGCTGTTTCCTCGTTTGCCCTGCCCTGGGTGTGTGTGTGTGTGTGTGTGTGTGTGTGTGTGTGTGTGTGTGTGTGTGTGTGTGTGTGTGTGTTTGTGTATGCATACCAATGGTCAGTCTCAGGTGTTTTCACTGACCATCTTGTATTTTTGAGACAGAGTCTCCCATTTTTACCTTGTTGGTACTGGCCACTTTGGCTAGGCTAGCTGGCCAGCACACTCTAGGAATCCTCCTGCCTCTGCCTTTTCCGAGCTTGCATTGGAAACATACAGCAGCATTCCAAGCCTTTAAAAATAGGGGTGGGGAGTGATTCACAGACTGGAACTGAAGAGACAGCGATGGTGAGGTACTGTATAGCAGGAGGGATCACCAGAAGTAGGGTACTATTGAGCTGCTAGGCGTGGGGGTAGGGGAGTCTTTCAAAGGACTTATGGCAGAAACTGGAGTGGGGCATAAGTAGGGGCTGAGCTGGTCAGTCCCACTAGACATCAGGTGCCTCTCAGTGTTAGCATGCCCTCATAGCTTCCAGATAAGGGTAAGAGACAAGAAGGAACCAGGTTCCAGAATTCCCTTCTGGCATTTCTGGCCTCCATCAAGGGCATCCTGGAAACTTCGGCACTGGCGGTCCCTGCCCCCAATTGGCCAGTTTTTATCCCTCCTCAGAACAAAATTAAAATTGTACCTATTAAAGAACAGCTCACACAACCCCCAGGACATCTCCAGTCCCTTTCCTGTCTCCTGCAAACAAAGTTCTGCCACAGCTTTCTTTCTACAGCTAAGTTGTTTTACTTGGCATGGAATCCCTAAGGCCCGCAGTATGGAGTCCATCATAACTTTTTCCTATTCACTCACAAATACTATTCCAATAAGCTTGATTGCCAACTAAAGATCTCCAGTCAACTAAGAGACAGGCCTGTGAGCACAACCATGAGGGTGCTTTTGGAAGAAAGGACACTCTGACTGGTATGGGAGTGGAGGGGGGCAGACATACTCTCTGTTCCGGTCAAGTTCCAGCAATGAAGGACTAACGTTGAATTGTAGGCTAAATAAACCCTTTCTCCCCAAAATGTTTTTGTTGGAGTAGTCTGTCACAATTAAGACCTAGCATCTCTCACTGAATGTGGAACTTGTTACATAGGCTTTGTAAGCTTCATAAGGCTGGCCAGAGTGCTACAGCCATCCTCCTGTCTCTGCCTTCCCAAGTCTGGGATCACAAGCATGAACTACTGTAGCACCAATAATAAAAACCCAGAGACAGATATTGGGGTTAAAGCTGAAAATCAGAGAAGCAAAGTGGCCAGCCACTAGCTCTTAACCTTTACCAAGGCTGGGGCGATCCTGTCCTCAACGAGACTAGAAGCTGAAGACTGAATGCTGAATACCCGAATGAGACCGTCTTATATACCTGTCTAGTACTGGGATTAAAGGCAGGCACCACCACAGCCCAGCTTCGATGGCTAACAAGTGTGGCTGCTGGGATTAAAGGTGTGTACCACCACTGCCTGGCCTCTATGGCTGTGGCTAGCTTTGCACTCTGATCTTCAGGCGAGCTTTATTAGATCATAAACAATGTACCACCACAAACTACCATGCCTGGCTTTTCACATGCTCCTCGTGCTCACATGGCAAGCACTTTACCAGCTAAGCAGTGTCCCCAGCCTGAGGACATGGGTCGCTACAGAATTCACGACGTGTAAGCACTTTCTCCCATCTGTGAGTTTCTCTTTATTCCTCTTCCCGATTTCAAGGAGAATGCTGGTAACTTTTTAGAAATATGAATGAAGCTCTCTATGGTTTCTGGGGTGGAGGTGGGTGCGATAACTGTCTTCTAACCTTTGAGGGCATGCTGTGACACACTGGACCCACGATCAACAATATTATTATCGGTGACACTAAGAGTGGCAGTCGACCTGGGAGTGTGTTCTCTGACTTTTATCCATCCCAGGTAAGGCAACAGCAATTCTGCTGAAGTCTAGCCCAGTGATCCAGGAGTTTATTGGGATTAATCCTAAGAATGTATGTAGGCTCAAGGGCACCTCGACATTTCTTTTTCATTTAAATTAACATACTAGGCATTAGAAATTTCCTAACAGAGTATTTTCTACTAGACTTTCCTTTCCAGGGTAGCCAACGCTCTCTTCTGACCTCTGCAGACACCAGGCAGCTCTCCCTTAGCTAAATTCTGCATTGTGTGACTTAGTGTCTCCTAGCCAAATCTACCGGTAAATTCTTTATAACATCAATCACTTCGGGTTTCATTCCCACCTGTTAAAGGTGTTAAAATTCTGTAACATAAAGAACTGAACACTCAGGGTCCTCCTGTTTTCCCACCAAACTGACCCTGAGGTCAGAACCATTTGTAGCTTCTCAGCCTCTATCCAGGAAGTGATAAACTAGCCTAAACAGCCCAGAATGCATGGTCCACATGAGCATCCTAATACAATCAGAAGGAAGGGTTCTCTTAAAGACGTAGCCAAGCTTTTTAAATCCAGCAGCCTTCCCAAGAATAGCAGGAACTCTCAAGGCTTCCCTTTCCTTTAGCTGCTTCACCATGCTTCTAACAATTCCTGAATTGTTAGCACAGAAACCGCACTCATCCTTCAAACAGGCACTTAAACCCTTTTGCAGGGTTGTTAGGCTGTATTCAGTTTCCAGAAATGTATATCATCTGCAAGGACCACCTGTTATTTGGATTTGTAGCCAGGCATAGCTTGTTAACAGAATCAGATAATAATTGTTTTGTAAACCTATTATCTCCAGTTATATTAGAGTTAGTAAAATTCATGTCACAGTCCAATCCTGGGGAGTACCGTGGCTAGCCCTGTAGGAAGCATTATGACCAACATTACCAAAGGGAGGATGGGCTATCATGACCCGCATCTCCAAATGTCCCCTGCTGAACTCTTAGCCTTCTGTAGTGATTAGACCTGTTGGGATTCAGGCTTATAAATTGAGCAGGCCTGAAGATCTGGTTCCCATATCTCTGGAAGGTGACTCATATAGGCTGGTCTAGGTGAACTTCCAGAATCCAGGTCTCCATATAGCTAGGGAGGAAGTTTTCCTGATCTGATCTACACAGCAGAAGACAGAGCAGCAGACTCTAGCCATCTTATTTCCCATGTATCATTGACCTGTATACATGCAAACACTCTGATCATATCTGTGCCCCATCCAACAGAGCCTGGGGATGTCCTGCCATGTACGTGTATTGTAAACTTAACCCATTTTCTTGACCATTTAACTGTTCATACTATTGTTTATACACCTGACTTTGAATATTATCTTACATTGAACAAACTTCAAGTTTACTTTTACACTTGATCAAGTTGTTTTAGGCTTAATTTTGACAACATATCCAGAATGACTAAATAAATTGAGACATAAACTGGTCTCTGTCTCTCTCCAATCTGTCTCTGTAAGTTACATGTACACTTAACATGGCTACAAACACAATTCTGGGACATTATGCCTTAATTACATTTGTTTCAACGGTTTGCTATAAACTAGCAACTCTCACAAGGTTAGAATTTGTAAACCAAGGAAGTTTATCCCTGTTAAGATTTTAAGCCTTAAAAACAATTTTGAAATGAAGATTTATTTTTAGTATCAAAGTATATTTTAAACAATAAATATATTTCATGGAGGATCTGGGCACCTCACTCTCCCGATCTTTTTATTGTATACTTTTGCAAAATCTAAACCAACATATTTTTATGCGGTGGCTCATTTTAGCACCAATAACACAATTACAGGAGAACAGAGTAAGATTGGTTCTCATACATGGATACCTATAAGAACAAAAGGTGTACAATTAATTTTTACCACAGTTCTTACAAGACTCAGTTTCTCCAAACAGCTAAAGCTTAACAAAGCTAGCAAAGACATACATGACTAGACATTCATCTTTAAGGCAGTTTATATTCACAGGAACATTTAAAAAATTTCAGCATTAGGTACATTATGTTTGCATATGACATATTCAGACCTTCACTGGCTTGGCTTCAACTTTTTATGATTTTTATTCATTCTATGTCCATAAAATGCTAACCTGGATGAGAATAAGACTGATACCACAACTTTTGAGTCAAACTTGAAGCAAGCTTTATTAAATACTGGACAAGAAGATGGACACTGGCCAGCTTCATACCCAGGATTCCCAGAAAATGGTCACAAGCTACGCTGGCCAAGTGCTTATAAAGGCAGACCCACAAGGCTATGCATTCTTTGCCTTCATCCAGTCAGGAACAAGCATACACCCTGACTTACTTTCTGCCTACATAATCTCCTGCTCACGTGTGATCAAGCACAGCCAGTGCAGTTGGGTCAACCAAACTTGTCTAGGGAAGTGAAATCGCATGGCTTGTTATTTTACATCAGCAAGAGCCTCTGGAAGGGTCTGTCCTTGGGCAAGTGGGTCTTATAAGCTAGAGGCATATAGGTTTGTTTTATGGATCTCTTGGGCACAGTAACTAAGAGCATAGCTTTGGCTCTCACGTAAGGTGCTGTCTTGTCCTGATTCCATTATGTGTCTACTTAGATACTTCCCAGTCCTCTAACTCCAGCAGCCACGCCCACTTTGGCAACACATTTGGAATTTCCATGACCCTGACGGTGGTCCAAATGCACTAACCAAAATAACCGATGTTTCTATGAACTAAAATAACTGAAAGGGGTATAGAGCGAAACTAATTGTCTTGCTGTGTCTGAAATAACTGCTATTTTCTGTCAAAACAAGTGTTGTGGTTCCTCTGCCCCTCGTCTAACACGGATGCAGTTGTCGGCTGTACCTCTGAAAGCCTTGTATCCTTGAGCTTTGACAGCAAGAGATCCTGAGACCTGAGTCTGCACATGGCCTCCAGTGGGGATGAAAAGACTCAACACTCTCCTGCTGTTGTTTCAGTGCTTTTTGTTTGGGTTTTTTGTTTGTGTGGGGGGGGTATTTCTGTTTGGTTTTGTTTTTGTCTTTGTTTTGAGACAGAGTCTTTCTACATATCTCAGGCTGGTGTAAAACTCACTATGTAGACCAAGCTGCCCTCAAATTCACAGAGACCTGTCTGCCTTTGCTTCCAGACTGTTGGGATTAAAGGTTTGAGACTCATATGCTCTTACTTTAGCTTAATCGGTGTGTTGTTTGCATATCTCTCACATGAATTGTTTCAAGATGAAAAACCATGATTTAGATTGAAAGCATTCAGCATCTATATCTTTACATACAAATCCTCTTGCTCAAACAATCTAACATTTTTAAACACCATAAGGTACATTAATAATAAATCTGCTATTCACTGAGAGAAATTTCCCCTAAAGGAGACGAGGTGCTAGCCTTGCCTTTTTCGTTAGGACCTTTACCCAGTATTATAACAGCCTTCCCATTGCTGCACAGGTAGATTCCTTTCCCTTTAGATATTGCCCAGGAGTCCCTCCTCCTTATGGAGGGGCTCCAGACCTTAATTGGACCTTTTGTGTCAGAGAGAGAGAGAGAGAGAGAGAGAGAGAGAGAGAGAGAGAGAGAGAGAGAGATCTATGTGCCAGAAGCTCAGCCATGGAGGGCAGATGGAGCAGGCTCAGGGTGAAAGCGAGTTTACAATTTAGTTTATCTGTCTCAATCCGGAGCAAAAAAAAAAAAAAGGAAGTGACTGATCTTCTCCCACAAATTCTTCACAAACAGCGTGCACAGAAGGATCTTCCCACATACCCCAAATACCGAGTTACCTGACAAGCAAGCCTCCAGCCACAGTCATTTGAGGTTTACTGCACATTCCCTCCTACTGTCTTCCTAATGGGAAGCCTTCCTACTGATCAGCAAGCAGCCTTCCTAGACATCCAGCCCTACCCAACCTGCTGGCTGTACAAGGAACCCTTGGGGCTGGATCAGAGCCCTCTTCTACCCTATAGGATAGACTGGCTATGACCTGGAGGTCTCTGCAGCTCACCTTAGCCTGCAGGTTCCCTGTTCAATTTTTCCTTTTCTCTCTGGAAGAGTCTGTGCTGGTGACCAGCAGTCAGGAGAGTCCAGAGTGCCCTGCCGAGGAAATCCTGTCTTCCCAGACTCCTGCTCCCCTGCAGC